CTTCTGCTGGTGAGATGGGGGAGGGAAGGAGACATCTACAGAATATTCTAACGTAAAACCTCTATCAACGGCGGCAGTCTATTCGAAGAGGATTTTGCTCATGTGCACATGGGCAGAATGTATTGGCCACCCCCCCCCCCCCAAATATACCGATGCTTGCCCACGGAGTATGCAAAATTGCTTTGAAGCGGAGCTTAATGCTTGGTTTTTTAAGGCCAATCATTGGTGAGAAGTGTTAGTTATGATTTTATTTTCAGTTCTCCAGTTCATAAAATTAGGTGGATTCAGTAAAAGGTCATTCGTGGCGCAATGGCCTTGAAATGGTCGTTAAAGAGAAACCATGAGCATACTCCCGACAACTATTGTACGATCTTATCCCGTTTAGGTTTACAAAGGAGCGTATCTTCCGTAAATTCGGAAAAACAGGGAATTCTTAAGAATCTTAAGCGAGAATCGTAGCCTACAAATTACTAAGAGCTTTCATATAAATTATGGGCACTATTTACCCTTTACTGCCCCACTCCTAGAGAACTGGGCCGGATTTCATCGAAATTCGTCCATAATTAAGATTTGGCTGGAAACTTGTGTCCAGGGGTATTCAAACCCGTGGAACACGAATATTAAAGGAATCTTGCGCGGAAAAATCATGATTCTATTTCAGCCATAAATCACTGGCTTGAGACTCATTATCCACGATAATAGTGAAAAGAACTGAAGTATTGCTTTCGTTTTGATTAGAAATTCGAAAACTCGAAAAGGCTGCTACGCGTTCGAATTGCCCACGGACGTCTTTCACGAATGCTGGCGACGGGGATGCTCAAACTTGGTTCTTGGAGTGCATTCACTAGAAGCTCTTTCTGGCCTTCTGCTTCGTTGCATTCACATCTTACACTTCTACTCCATCCTATTCCATCGATCGATTTGTCTCCACTCTCCGAAATCGCGCGCTTTAACCCGATTCTCTCATTGCGTCGCCTGGTACGTAGCCGGCCAAACGCCGTCTTCTTTCCATGCCTCGCCTGGCTCTGCCTCCTGGTCCTTCGATGGTCCATAACGTGTAGTTTTTGTACGTTTGTTTCTCTTCAGAAACCGAATCTTCATGCGTGAAACTTTGTGTGCTATTTCCAGTGATCACAACTGACATATTCATGTTAGGAAAGAGTGCAAGAATTTTCCGCGCAAGATTCCTTTAAGTTAGTTCAGCGCGAAAACGCCTCATGGCCGGCTCCAAAAAGGGCCAAAACATCTTGGATCACAAAATTCTCTGAAAACTCGTCATTAGGGGTAATCAGACCCCTTGAACATGATTATCGCATCAGTTCGTTTTGAGTGAGCTTGTAGAATGCTACACGAGCGAAAATGGTGTGATGGCGCCGGCGCCTGTGGCGCGAGCGCCAGGCGTTTTCGCGCTAAACTTGTGTGATATTCGTGTTCTACGGGTTGAAATACCCCGGGATACAACTTTCTAGCCAAATCCTCAGTCATAAACAAATATCGATTGAAATCTGGCACTTTTTGTCGAGTGGGTATTAACACATTGCAGCCCGCGTGCATCGCCGGGTATGCACGTGGAAACTCCCACATCTGATATTTGTGCATCGCCGCTTAAATACTGCCGGTTTATGAGTAGGAGCTCCGCTACAACCCTATTACCGCTGTGCAATCATGGCTACGATCCCTAAAGAGATCAATAAAAAAGAGACACTGAAGAAACGGATCTGCTTAGTTTTCAACTCACCCCACTCGGATTTTTTCCCGTAACAATAAATTGGCGTCCAAATAAACAAATCACAAAATAAAAACGAACTGCTAGGAAGATGACCTGTAATAAGAAACAATTAAAATAAAGGGGTAACGTGGGCGCAGGTCAAAGGTACATACTTGAGGGTACACAAGCGGCACAGGAACCCAATCATACTTGAGAAGAGCCTGCCAGGCCATGTCGGAACTTGCTGATTTCCTATAACGATGATCTTTGACTTCGACTTTTTATTCGAAAAAAATGAATATAGGATACAACATCCTGAAGGAATTCTCTCCTCTTTAAATATGCTGCTTGCGCTTTTTTTTTGAACCACACGATATTGTTCAAGTCTCGGATATTTGAAATAGAGCATCCAAGCGGCAAGTAAACAGCTTTTCGAATAGGTAAGTTTCTAGCAACTAAACATATTGGTTTACTTTGCAGCACTTCATGATAGTAACTACTTAGACTATCCTGGTAGTTTTCGAAGTTTTCTATTAGACCTGTGAATGGTCGGTCTGCCACGGTCAAAAACGCCTATGTCAACCTGGACGAGACGCTTTGCTCTGAGGTTTTTCCAGAGAACCTTTGAAAGTACTTCGAAAAAGGGAGGCGAACAAATGAACAGAAGGTTGAGTGAGGAATTCGGCAGCAACGCTTTCACATATAAATTTTGACATATAAATACTACGACTCTAATTCACCTAGTTTTACACAAGAATCTTGTGCCTGGGAGCGTCACAGGGCACCAAAGAGCGAAGGGTTTCGCCTTGCTAAAGAATCATTCGCTAGAGCAATTTCAAACCCTGCCCTCGTAGTACTACCTCTCACTAAATAGCGCAATGATCAAGAAACTAAATACAGTACCCTGAATGTCACGTTATACACAGATTGTCCGATAAGTAATAATAAAATTTTTTGAAATAGAAATCGGCGCTACTGCAAGATACCGAGGGCATTGGGGCGACAATGCAATTGAAATCGCGTAAAACATACCCTTTTCGTTAAAAACGGGACTAATGGTAAGCCTTAGGTAAGGGAGGAGAGATTTCAGGGTGCGTCAGCTACTATGTTCAATCTCCCCGTAACTCCTTCACCATCCCAGGTTTAGCCCTGGATGATGCCCCCCGTATGTTGTGATAGAACCTAGAAATCTTTACCCTATGGTGCATGTTTTGACTCAATGCTATTCACCGTTCGAAGAAATCTGTCCGCTCTACAAGGTAAATTGCATTCCCATATTTTTTTATGAACTGACTGATTTGCAGGCTTGCAAAGCAGACAGCAGGCGAGCAATAGTCAAATCGGCAACTGTCTAAAACCTTGTGTGACATCCTTCTTTATGAAATCTCTCCACTCATTCTTTGAATTCCTCGTGGCCCCCGCCCTGGATCTCGAAGTGTAGAGCATTCCCTACCGGGCAATCCTGCTGCCCCGTGGCACATGTCCATGCCATGGCAGTGGCTGCTCCTCGCACGCTCAGCTCGATGGGGTCTTCTTCGTCCCTGACCTGGTCCAGTCGGATCCTGCCGCAGGTCCATTGCAGTATCTGTAGGGTATGTGGGAAGGGGGAAGCACCGGGGCCTGCTTGGAAGGTTGTGGTTCGATTGCAATACATCGCATGGTGAGCGTAGTCTGATATTGCATTACAAACCGAAATAAATGAAACTTAAGCCCACGTCAACGATTTTATTCATGAGGTAGTAGTCGGCAATCTTGCCATTGGCCTTGCATTCGTACACCAAATTGACGCACCATTGAATTGGCGCCCAGTACCTAAACAATGAAGCTTGTGTATCATGCATCGTCCATTTCGTAGGATATGGATAATTTCAGAGAAGCCGTCATTTCTTGGGGCAGAAGAAATGTGGGAGAGCTGAAGCT